AGCTTTCAATTTTATTTGTACTATGGCTTCTGGAAGCTCATTAACTGTTGGGGATGTTGCAGCCACAAGCTTACTGGGCTTCCTTTTCCCATCCTGTTGGTCAAAATTCTTTCTTCTCAGTTGGAAATGACCTATTGGACTATGACTTTCAGTTGATTTGCTTTGGATAGAGCCTTACCATTTGAAAAACGACCATAATCTTCTAATCTCTTTCTGGATTTCATTCTCAAGTATGTTCATTTCCTTCTCTTTTGTTTATGTCCTTTATGATTTCTCGTTTTTACTCTATGATTTACATTTCTTCGGGTTTATTTTGTCTTTCCTACTTGTTTATGATTAAGATTTATACTGTTTCCTTTCTCTAATAGCTCATCTCTCACACACCCAAATGTCTCGTCCTTCTCACATTCATAACTCTTTTTGTCCTGACTTGTAGACTTTCTTCCTTTACTTTTTGTGATTCCCTGTCCTTGACATTGAGCCCCTTACCCTCTATTTTGCTCTCTCGTTCCCCATTTTTGCAGTTTCATCCTTTTCTCACCACTCTCTTGTATTCTCATGCATACCCCTGCTTTTTGTCTTAGGCACTTCAACGGGGTTAAGATCGATTTTCTGTAGATGTTTCTTCCCTTCTCTTTGACAGCTTAGCCTGCTCCACTTCTTCTGACCTATCCCTCCTTCCTCTGTTCCCCTGATGTTGGGACTCATTAGGTTGAGCTACATTCATCTTTACTGTACTCCTTTTTCTTTCTTGTTTATATGGTAATTGTCTGGTTTTCTTTCTTCACCTGGATGTCTTCAGTGGTGTTCCTTTCTTCCTGGTGACCTGGACTGACATTATACATCTTCAGACATTGTTACCTTTGTAGATTTTTCTTCTTTCTTGACCTTGCCCTTTACTCCTGTTCCTCATCTGTATCAGTCAACCCCTTGCCTTCCCAAGCCAGGTTCCAGGTGTTTCTCTTTTTCTCATCTGCCCTCTACCAGATGCCTAATTCATTACTTTACTTGTCAGTGTCTAGCAGGTCACATCTGGCCCTATGGGGATCTCTCTCACTTCTCCTGCTATTGGCCTTATTGTCTGCTGACAGTTGTTTTTCATTTCTCTATCATGATCTGTCTCCTCACTTCTCTTGTCTTTGCTCCTTTTACCATTTCCTTTTCTCCTCCCTCAAACCCAATCTATGTTTTGTTTTTTCACCTGGTCTGTAGTTGGCCATGGTCAATGTGTCAGGCATCTTCTTACACATCCCTCTTTACTCATCCTCCATATGTTTTTTCTACATTCAGTCCATCAGATTCACATCTACCTTACTTTTCCCTTTGACATAGCATTGCCCCCTTTTGTATTCATTTGTATTGTTAGGGTCTTCACTCACGTGTTGAAGTCTTGAGGCTGGTATGCCTTTTCTTGGATGATTTGCTTCTTTTGGCCCATTATTGGTGGTATCCTCTTCTCACACCTTCCTTTCTTTTACAAGAAGCTATTCAGTTGGGGGTGGTTTGTCATGAGATATACAGCCTTTCTCACGCTAACACAATACTTGGTACTTCCCTGGTTGAGATGAGATGTGGTCTCCTATGTGTGTGCACCAAGGGAGCTTGTCGTAAACTTAATTATTAGTAGTATATATATATATAGTAATGTAAATATTTGGCTGTGTTGGGCTGAGGATTATTCTACAGTACATGTCTGTGACTTGTTAACGATACATTTGATAATAAACAAACAGCACCCATTCCACTTGTTTTTAAGTAATATATATATATTTGAAACAAGTTAAACATATGTACACAATTCTTTACACTATGGAGAACATAGTTTTATCTTAAACACTATACAGTTCCCTTCTTCTTGTCAAAAATCCACTTAGGCCAATTCAATTGCTTTAGAATTCATTTGACAAGCCAAACCATTTTTCTCTATTTTTATTGCAATAGTATCCATTTATAATTCACTTACGCTTTCACACGAGTTATCGCAGTCGTATCCTGAACTTCCAATAATTGTCTGCATTTTGTTAAAGTCCACACAGGTGGGATCTATTAGTTTAGAACAGCCTTTGATAAGACAAATTATTCTCCTTATCTCTTTCAAACTGTTAATCTCACTCTAACATATCAACTGTTAGGCCATTCACTCCCATAATAGTGAACTTTACGTTTTTTTAACTTTTCTCTGACCATAGTTCTCTTTCACATGACTTTACTTTTACTCTGTTTACGCTCATCTGGTCACAGCTATCTATATTTCTATCATTAGGCCTTCTAGAAATCTCTATAGCCTCGACATCAATGGATTGCAAGCACAGTGTTCGTTAGCCTCGACATCAATGAATTACAAACACAAAATAAATTAATTAATAATTCTACCTACACTATACAGTCTCTTATATCTGACAGAGCTCATTTAGGTAAAATTTTGCACTTGTCCCTCAATGTTTGTTCTCATTTCACGGTTTAATAAAGATGTGTTAGGTAATATTTTCGTATGTGTTCAATCAAAATGTTAAATTTTGTTGAGAGTGAGAAAATCAGACCTAAGTTAGAGTTTAATGGATATTTATTTGTTAAAGACAAACAAGTGAAGGAAGAAGTTTATTGGAAATATGAGCAATTTGAAAACAAATGCAAAGGTCTTGTGATAACAATTGGTGATAATGTAGTTGAGAGTGTTATGAGCACAACTATACTGGCAATACCAGTGGCATTGAAGCTAAGAATGTAATGCACAGAATACAAAATGATTCAAAGAATACATGTGATGCACAGCATTATATTGTCTCACACACATCCTTTGGACTCAGCCAAGCTGCGGCAGTTAAGTTGCCATCTATAGACAGCATAAAAAGAACTATTCAGAATTTACATGGGAAACAAAATCTAGGACTAATTACTTCAAATATTTGAAGATATATTGTTTTTTTTCCAGAAGAGTACACTAAAACTGGAAATGGAGAATGGTTTTTAATGTTTGACTCTGGTGTGACAGATGATCGAATATTGATTTTCTGTACGAGAAGGAACCCACAGTTACTGTAAAGTTGTGATAATTTGTATGCTAATGGAACATTTAAGACCATTCTGAATATATTTTGAACAATTATATATGATTCACATGCTGCAAGGAAGCATTGCCATCCCTTTAATTTATGCATGGTTGTTGAATAAAAATGAATGTACATATATTAGACTTGTTAGAGAGATAAAGGAAGTGGTACCTGCCTTATATCCCATGTTTATATTAACAGAGTTTGAACTTGCAATGTTGCAGAGATGTTCAACTTTCTTATTGATGAAAATATTTTTCAACCCAAAGCTCAACTTGTGGTTGACTATTTAGAGGCTACTTAGATTGGATGTCCTGATTGAAGACGCTGCTTCCAGCTACCCGTATTTAAGCTTGAGATGTGGAACTGCTATGAAGGCGTGCAGCAGGACTTGCCAAAAACTAACAATTTGATAGAAGGATGGCATTGTGACTTTTTGCAGCAAGTTTCTGCAAATCATCCAAATATATGGAAGTTTATTTCTGCAATAAAGAGACAACAAAGTCTGAACAAGCTACGTATTGAGCAACTTTTGAGTGGTTAGGAACCTTCTATTGGTCAGAAAAAACATCATGACTCTGCAAAGAGATAAAAAGACTTGTCAGTGCATTTCAACCAACAAATAATATGAATGATTACTTACATGCACATAACATAAATTATTAATTATTACATAGTTAAAATTAATAAATAATTTTGGTGTTTATTGGATATTTTAATGGTCTGATAAAGTTGCTTATTGTAATATTGTGATGTAATAATATTCTACATTCTCAATCTCATTTTTTACATATATGTATGTTTTCCTTATGCATTAAATAATATTGGTCCATTTCACTTCAAAAATTCATTATTCAGGAAGAATAGTCAACTATTTGAAAGGGCTCGAGTTTTGGGTCTCGTTTGGAAAATATTACAACTGTTTTTGGTGATCCTGTGTGCTAACTACTTAACCATGATTTCAGTATTATAGAGTTTGGTGTATCATACTATGATTTCAGTATTATAGAGTTTTGTATATAATACCATGATCTCTTAGTTAACTTGCTCAATCTCTCAAGATCAAATACTCAGTTTGGTAAGTGAAGTTTAACTTCTTTATTTATGTTGTGATACTCTCCTAAAATTTAACCTGTAATGTTAGTTAATTCTTAATAATCATCTTAATATGTTCTTAACAGAGCTTAAACAGTTAACTTTGAAGTAAAGGAGCTGTTTTTCATTCTGTGCAGTATTTAACTTTGGTTGTTTTTTGAGTTGAAATAAAGTTTTATTTTTACTGTATGTTTTACATTGTGTCTGGTCTCAGTCAAAGTTAGAGAACTGAGAATTACTTCATAATTTATATCTTGTCGAATCTGATGTTATTCTGTGAACCTATCTTGTCACTCTTGGAAAAATCAGTTTTCCTCTGAGAATACCACATTTGTAGTCAAGGAGGACCACAATAGGTTTTATATTGCATGTCTTCTACAGTGAAAAAATACCACAACTCTTTCATTGTATTGTGTATGATGAAGAAATACCACTACAGTTTTAAATACTATGAGTTCCATAAGTATCACAACATCTTTGATATTTATGAATTGTGAGGTGAAGTACCATCACAGATTAAACGTATATCTATTCCATGTGGTGAAGTGGTACAACCACTTCATTGGTATTTATACATTGTGTAGTGAAGTACCACCATAGTTTGAATGTATGTGTTCCCTGTGGGGAAGTATTCGTACTTCATATTTAATTATTATGTATTCTTTGTGCTATAAACTACTACATATTACTAATTTTTCCAAACAGTTACTGATAGGTGTATAAAGTTAATCGAAGGTGTCATTCTAATGTAATATCAAGCCCTGGTGACATTAAATATTAATAATCTCATTCCTAAAGTTTTTACTTGTCTTTGTTAAGCCGACTTCCAGTTCTATCAGTGAGTGTTTTGTGCAGGTGGCCCAGGGTCTCGTAAAGGCCGTGTAGTGAACGACTTGGCTCAAGGGTATGGCTTTCATGTTATCAGTGCAGAAAAACTCATCTTGACACACCTTCCTGAGAAACTAGGAGAGGATGAAGAGATTGCAGAGACTTTAGATTCAACTAAAGAGCTGGAACAGTTGCTGCAGGTATACCTATATTGTAGTATATTAAACTTAAGAAACATAGGAAAGTGAGTAAAATGACAATAATCCCTTGCTTTACCTTCTTGAAACTTCATAGCAGTGTATAAACTTGTAGCTGTGTCTCTTTAATATCCAAAATGGATTTGTTTTCTCTTATGGTTAAAAATTTTATTATAAGTATTCATTTTATTCAAATTTATAAAGCTATAGTTGTAAATTTTACTCAGTGCCTACTTGTATGTGAGAGACTTGTACTAGAATTGGTTAAGTGTTGCTTTGTTATGAAACTAGTAAGCCTAAATGCTGCACTTAGTAACAGGTATGAGCATGGTTGTGCTTATATTATAATGCAAAACTTGTGACCAGGTGGCTTTAGTTTAATTTAGCATCTACTCCTGTTTTAAGTGTAACTGACACTAAATGTGATTCTTGCATTTCTCTAAATCCCATCTATGAATTCTGGTACAATATCTTACTTTTATCAGTGCAAATTTTCAGTGCACACCACTAGTTGTCCATCTCCCACTTCTGCATATCCACATGCAAATTATCGTGCAGCATCTTTCCACCAATAGGAGCATGACATAAACAGCACCCTCTTCACATCTGCACTCATTAATCACTTTGAGATTGGTCAGAAGACATACACCATATATCATCGGAAGTAGAGATGCTGGATGGGAAATGTGAGCAAAAGTAAGTATCTATTAGAAATACATTTTCAGTGTAGGAAAATGTTAACTTCCAATACAATATCTTATTTCCTCTCACAGAATTGCTAGAATCCCACATTGAACTGGTGGAGGGCAACAGCTCTTCACCAATAGGAGCATGACACCAATCCTACCATATCATGCACTATTTTCACATCTACACTCTTTAATCACTTCTCGATTGGCAGTAGTACTACACAAATGTGCTGGATTTTGCTTGCAGATTTGTCAGTAACTTTATTTTTTAATAAATACAAAAATATTTTAGAAACTAAACTATCGATTAAGGAAAATATCTTATAAATAAAATATAGAGGGAGTTAGTTACTTTAGCTTATAAGTAGCTAATAATAATTTTTCTAGTAATTTTATTCAGTATAACCAGAACAGAAAGACTAACTTCGAGTAGCTGGGCTTGTCTCAGCATTCCCGTGTTATACTTGAATAAATCTTCAGGAGAAAGGGAGAAGGTTGGGAATTAGAACCATAT